GACACCAGACTTACTTGACAGCGGTACCAAAGGACCTTCGTGCGTAACAACCTCTCCGAAAAACTAAAATGTCCGGTTCTCGGCAATGAAGAGCTGACTGTGTTCACATTTGACAATGCTCGACGACAATCGCGTTACAACTGTCTAAGAGTTAGCCTCGATTTACGAGGTCAATTCAATGAAACTGCCATAACGCTGGAAGCGTTAGAAATCCCCGAAGTATGCACGTTCACCAGCCCCCCAATTGACAAAAACCTCCAGGCCCAACTTCGCAGCGAGGACATGCTATACGCCGCTCTTGCGCTGGAGGGCCTGCCTCGTCGAAAAGACATAGGTGTTCTCATCAAATAAGATGCCTATTGGAAAACTGTCACAGCACGAATCAAACGTTTCAACGACCTACTCCACCAGTTGACCCGACCGACGGCCCGGCTACCGACCGACCGACGCGGACTTCGAGAAACTGTCGACTCTGACAACGCCCGGACTTTCGAATGTTGCGTAAGCATGCTCGCCACCCTATTAACAGCTGAAGTTTAAAACATTTGCAATGATCTCCACATACAGTGGAAGTTTATTGTAGAAAGAGCACCACAGTGGAAAATATGGTGAGAGCCAGTAATTCGAACCACCAAAAATATTTCGAGAAGAGCACTTAGACACAGCAGCTCGACATTTGAGGCTCTGCAAACTCAGCTGTGCAAAGTACAGGCAGCAGTAAACAGCTCACCCCTAACTACTCTCGGATCACATCCTTCAGGACGCCAACCCCCACCACCCTCAAACTTTCTCGTAGACAGGCGCCTCACAGCATAATCACATCAACTAAAGGAGTGCAGCCCATCTTATACGAAGTAGAGCCTGCAAAAAGCAGCCAAGCTACGCCAAACCACACTCCAGCCCTTGTGGCGTAGATGGAAACCAGGGTTGGGCAGAAATACTCAAAAATGTATTTGGAAATACAAATACTGGGATACATTAAAATAGTAGCTAAAATACTGATACTAAGATACGTCTGTAAAAATGTATCGCGATACGTATCGGAAATACATTTTAAAAAGAGGCAAAAAGTATTTGGAAATACAAATACAGGAATAAATCTTAGGGGGGGCAGAAATACAAATACAGAAATACTGATAGTGCAATACGTTTTCCAAATTTTTTGAGACGCCAACTGATTTGAAGCTTGAAGTTTGAAGTGGATGTTTTCGATCCCGAAATTACTTTCCTGTAGGCTTGGCACTTTGCCTTGAAGGTAGTGGTTTCGGACGACAAGGCGTCTTCAATGGGCCCAAAAAAACGTTTCATCAAGGGCTGACCGCGGTCCCTTTCATGACATCCTCTCTGTCTGACGAGGGAATCCTGTCAACATTGATCACATGATGTCACGGTGGAATGAACTAGTATTCTTTATCTGTAGGTTTGGCCTTGAATATGAAACATTACCACGCTGCTGTATGAAAGGACAATACGTACTTTCGTTGTAAGTTACCTAGTTGAAGAACGTGCATGCAGTGTCATTTGGAATTTTTGAGAATAGTGGGCCACCTGAAGCATCTTGGAATACATCTGTTATCTTCTGTTACGGTTGGAAAAACGATATGGTAGCGTCCCTGTTCTGAAGGTCCTTACTACCGACCCTCCGCCACCGACGCACGAATTGCAGTCCTCAAGTTTTGCCTAGCATTATCCAAACAGAGACCTGTTGGATTGCGAGCTGATATTTCCAGCACAGGTGCGAGCTGTCCGAGAAACAGCGGTTTCGAGACGAGTCGCAGGAGTACGTAGTCTAAAATGGCACAGCGAAGCCACTTCTGTCCTCCTTCTGGGTTTCGGATCACCAGAGCAGCGGTTCACATTCACGTCGGCTGATGACGTACCCTTGAGCCGTGCAATGTTACGGGCGCAGCCGCAGATGCATTCGAATATGTGTTGAACTTCACAGCGTGCGTCTTCCTACTATTTCAAGTCAACCACCGCCAGGCTCGTGCTGCAACGGAATGTGACTCAGCTTTGCCGGCTGGGTGCACTGTGTACGCTAAGGCGAGAGAGACGGTCAGCAGCGGACATTGGATGCCAGCCAACAATGACTCAAGAAATCCCTACGTAAGGACCTGCGGCAGGAGATGCTCTGACTCCACTCCTGGCACGCCACCTGGTTTGAGGTCCCGACTACGGAACACTTCTCAGAAGAGAGAAGAGGACGTATAGACAAATGTTTTGCAGAATCAAAAGGAACCTTGGTCAGCATAGCAACAATGCCCCAGCATCTCCTGGACGCTGGTGCCCTCAGAAGTAAAAAAAAAAAAAATGCGCTCAGACTTGTTTATTTTTTTTTTCCGGAAACGGGGGGGGGGGGGGGGAGTATTTCTCATGAAATGCAACGAAATACATTTCATCCTGATTGTATCGCGATACAAAGAAACATTCCAAATGTATTTCGATACAGGAATACAAATACTGGTGAAAAAAATGTATCGCGATACAGAAATACAGATACGAAATGTATTTCTGAAATACTATCGCGATACATTTGTATCGCGATACTGCCTAACCCTGATGGAAACATCAGCAGCTTCGTTCAGCTGATCAAGGACCAGAGAAACCTGGACCCAGAGTTAAGGCTCGCTCCTTCAGCTGCGTCGACTGCGTTGCGCTGCGATGCGTCGTGCAGTACGGCGCTTCCCCATTGGCTCCTGGTAAGGGTCGACGTAGCAACAGCTCTGCGCAAGCAGTCTTAAACCAGTCAAACGCAACTGTGTGAACGAGCCTTAAAGATTCACGACATCGTCATCCTTGAATGACGATAAAACCCAACCCAGGCTGTGGAAACTCGGTCGAGTTGCGGCTCCCTTTCCCAGCCGAGATGACGTCCCACGTACTTGCAAGGTAGTGTTTCCTGACGGGCGTGAAATAAACAGGCCCATCCACAAGCTCTACTTCGTCGGGGCATCAGGAACGCCAACCCCGTCCCTGTAGAATTTTGTGGAATAAAGACGAGCAGGAACGTGTGTGGGGCAGATATTGGAAGTGAGCGCGAGCAGGAACTATGGCAGGATTCTAATAAACGGCCCTGCACTCTAAGAAAAATAATCCGTTCTTGAGAGGTTCTTCGGCGCCCCAAGAACTCTTTCAGCTCGTGAAGAACGACATTGCCTCAAGCACTACCGCCCGCTGGCACACTAGAAAGGCAACTAGGCGAAGAAGAGCCCTTTCGCATCAAAAAACGGAGCTTAAGAGGACCCCATATAGGTTTTTCACTAACAACCTTTTTAGGGGGTGCTTAGAAGAACTTTTTAGGGTGCGAAATAATAACAAGCCGAAGCACCCCTAAAAGTTGTTTTCCGACCAGAGCTTTTTTTTTTTTCCTTCGAGTGTACGAGACGGACGGGTCTGGGTCCCTTCCCTAACAATACTAATTAGTTAAATATTTAACTAAAATTACCTAATGAACTTTTTGAGTTAGTGGAAATAAACACACGGTTCGGATTTGAAACTTGCTGAGCACCGTAAGAAACCACGAAATACACTATTTCTGAAATATATAAAGCACGTATAGCATCTTACGAAATAAAAAAAAAAAACAAAAAAAAAAACACGCAATTCGAACGCGTTTTAAAGTTTAAGGTTCGGTTTTCTATATTTTGCTCCAGCCCCATCCGTGGTTAAGGCTTGCAGCTATCGCACTTCTTGCCCCCCCCCCCCCCCCCCCCCCCCCACCCCCTGAAACCCCAGTATGATGGAAGGACGTACGGGACACATGCCTTGCGCGCCTACGCCACCGGAAGGTAGGACTTGCTAAAATAAGTTGATTTGGTCGTTTCGTATGATGCTCAGCAGGTTATTAATCGAAACCATATGTATATCATTACTATCTAAAAAGTTTGCTCGTAAATTTTGCCTACTTATTTAGCTAATATTTTTTTGCAGTCCCTGACTTTTACCGAAACTGGCAGTTCGTTTCCACGTTTATTTGTTTTTTTTTTACTCTATTTTAATAATTTTGGAAGTCTTCGGTAAAACACTCGGCATAGGGTGTCTAGAACGAGTCCCATCACTGTAAAACGAGCCGGAAAAATCGACGCCTGAACCCGGGAAAATGAAACTTTCACCGAGTATGCATTGAGATAATTAATATTATCTCGTAAAATTTCAAGGCGTAGCTTTCTTCGGGTAAAAAATAAAGTGAGACCAACAAATTTGCCAGGGTCAATGGCAGACGGGTTCGCAGACGACCGTGTTAGCGATTGTCATAACTTGCGGCGCCATCTCCCTATAGGCGCAGCGAGCAGACACTGGTTTCGTTTTCACGCCGCATGAAACAGTGGGTTGTACGAATAGTATTGGGATATGCACAGGAATCGCCACGTTTTGCTTTTCTAAATATATTTCTTACGGTCCTATATGTGTGAGACAAAATGAGTCTTGTTCGTAAAAAAAGTATGTACAGGTTGTCACAAAAGAAAATTTACACGGTCTTTTTTACCGCAAAAATAAACTAGGCATCGCCGAACGCTCATTCTCCGCCCAAAGGTAGAGCTAGAGGCCACAACCAGATGCCAAAGTTTCAGCCCGATCCGATAACTTAATCAAAAGTTATAAGCGATTTTCTGAAAATTTCAATGGGAAAATGGCGGCCGACGAAGCTTTCAAACACATGGGGCTCTAGGGCACTAGAAACCGAAAACGGGTAAAAGTGGGCTCAATTTTCCCATTGAAATTTTCAGAAAATCACTTATAACTTTTGATTAAGTCATCGGATCGGGCTGAAACTTTGGCATCTGGTTGTGACCTCTAGCTCCACCTTTGGGGGGAGAATGAGCGTTCGGCGATGCCTAGTTTATTTTTGCGGTAAAAAAGACCGTATACATTTTCAATTGTGACACCCTGTACTTACCCACGGAAATATCTCAAATTTAAGTGATTCAAGTGCGGAAGCGTAACTGTTGGTTTTGTCTCGTTTTCCTCATTCATTCGTCTCTCCGCCATTTTCTTCTTAGGACTTCTAAACAAATTTCTCTCCTGGAACGTCTTCATTCCCTTGTCACGGCTGACGTACGGAATTTACCTGGTTCATCTCCTATTCCACTTGTTGCGCATGGCTAATACAAAGACGGCAATTGACGTGGACGAATATTTACAGGTAACAACATGTTGGGTATATTTAAACCGGTTTTGAACTCGATGCGTGCACATTAATATGTTCATAACGAAAAATAAATGCTAACTATAAGTAAATGCAATTTTAAAAGATCATTTGTTTCGCACCAACTTGTAATATCTGAAGCTCTGACTTGCTGGTCACAAATAATTAAAACTTGAAATACCGTACTTACTTAAAAGTAAACAATAGACAGAAGTCTGTCTGGTTGGGGGAAATAATTATTAAAATACGACAATCAAACCAATCCTCAAATCGGGGGCCCAACATTTCGAAACCTGTTCGACTTCCTCTTCAGTGGCGACTATGGAGAAAAGGAGCCGCAATCCTCGTTTTCCTCTTTGGCGGAGGCAAATGCGCACGACCCCTTCTTCCTCTCTGGCCGTTTTTTTTTTTTTTTTTTTTTTTTGTTATGACACGTGCTGGAGCCCGTTCACATACACGGATGGCAGAGCGCCAAAATACCCATTAATGTTTGTTGGCGTGGTCTGAATGCGCCAAGATTCAAGGAAGAGCCTCCGGCGAGGGTTAGTTTCAATGTCCAGGATGCGCGTGTTTACAGAGTCAATGCGGTGGTTGTTTATTTCACTGTGATCAGTTACCGCGCTGCGCTTTTAATCAAAGGTGCGCACATGAGCCTTGTGTTGACGAATCGGTTCGTGATAGTTCTTTGTTTTGCCGATGTACCAGGACGGGCACTCCGCGCAGGGAACCTCGTACACCACTTAAACAGTTTATTTCCTCTGAACAAACTAACTTCGAATTGAGCATGGTGCCGGAAGTAAGACTTTCTTTTTATACTTAGAAGTATGATATGTTGTAAGACATCTCATGAATAAAATGAACAGTCTTCACGCCTAATCTACCACTTTAGGTTTGGGAGAACATATCTTAAAGTAATCTCTGAAAATATAAGGTTTCCTCTTTGTTGTCCTCGCTGTTAGTATTGTTTTCTCGAACATATCAAGTACATTGCTTTGCGCAGCTTTCTAAATTAACATTAATTGTTTTTTCTCCGAATGCGCCTTGAAGCTTAGTCAGGATGGTGATATGAGAAATTTGAGTAACAATGAAGACTAATACACACTAGTTTCGGAAAGGGTCTCTTCTTCCCCGTGTGTACAACCGACAGTTTCCAAACGGCTTTTTTTTTTTTTTAGCGCATCACAGGAAAAAGAGAGAAAAAGAAAGGACAAGGAAATTTAAAAAAAAGTGAAATTGTGTGGGTACACGCGTATTCCCTGTGAAGCAAAGACGAGTAAAAGTTCAGAAACCGCACACAACCAAATTAGTAACTTGTTTTGTTTCGGTTTTACGTTAAAACTATATAAAATAAAAAATACAAATAAACTTGTTTTGGCTCATTCGCAGCTCTCCCCTTCGGAGCCGTATCCCACACGAACAGGCCCACATTACTACCGCACAAACAAAAATGGGAAGGGGATTGTAAACTGAGAAGCCAGGGGTCGGCTGGCACAGGCGGTCGCGCGCAAAGTCCCTAGAAGTCGCGCAAGTGGGCGATTTTTCTTCAAGGTTACCCCAGCTCAGATGGTCATCATTTGAGCCCGTTCTCGTTTCGCACTTCTCAGTTGGCCCTTCTCAAAACAACCGTTCTCTAAAAGATCTTCTCGGTTTGACTTGTCGCATTTGACCTTTTCTCGCTTCGTCCTTCGCATTTTAGCTCTCCACATTTGGCCTGATATCGTTAAGGCATTCTCACTTGGCCTCTATGGTTACCTATAGGCGTTTCGCCGTTCGGTATTGGTTTTTCTTTACAGCCAAACGTTACAGTAGAACATTACAGATCTCCCTTTCAAAAACCGCTGATAAAGCACATTCTGTGCTGAGAAAATTGCTAAAGCACAAAGGTGTTGGCGATGGAGCACGAATATATCGCCGCCTTTATAGGCCTTTCCAGCGCCTATCAGACAGGCAAAAAATGCTGAGTCACTAGGCTGTGGATGAGGGCGCGGCGTCTCATATTCCGCGAGAAATAGCTTGTGCGCACGCGCATAACGTCTTCCACAGCCCAGTAGACAAAGATGGCAGCGCGCAGAAGGCGATTATTGGAAAGGTCTATAGTTGTGATAGGTAGAGAATGCACATGTTCTGCCTCCAGCACTCGATCGTTGCCTTCCGCCAATAAAACATATGAAACGTATTGATCGGCGTCAGGAGATGGAATGTTTTATTTACACAAACCAGTCATTAATGTGCAGATAATCGAATTAAAACGTGGTATAAAAGCTCACTTTGTCAATTCAATTTTCAAAAACCTTTTTGTTCATGTACATAATCATCTGCATGTGCAGCGTTTCTGTTCCCGACAGTACCTGTCCAGTTTCAGACACATCTTAACTGAGAGAATGTTTTCTCAACATCAAAACTTCCGTTTGAAACGCACAGCAACGTCAGCGAGCTATTCGGGAGTCTTGGGCACCGCTTTCTTATCAAAAGCGCTCAAGTAAAAATAAGGGTTGTTTTTAAATATTTTTTAATATTTTTGCATTCCTTCTGTCATCCGCATTTTGAAAAAGTTTTGTTAATAAGCTCTATATTTCTACAACGCCAAGAAACGTGAAAATGGTGGAATATATCTGAAAGTATGTAAGGTACCCCAACAAAGTAGACCCACTCGCAAAGCCGCGAAAGCATAACTTCGGCAGGAGCATGCCGAACTAGCCCCATTCGGTCGTAGCGCAAATGGACAAAATGAAAATGAGCCCAGTTGCGAAGAAACTGATTCGGAAGTTATGAGATGCTCCAAACGAGATGGACCAAATGAGAAGGGCACGATATGCGTATGGCCCAAATGAGAATGGGATGTTTTCAGATAACGGGCAAGATGAGAATGGGCCCAGTTGCGAAAAAACTGGTTCGGATATTCTGAGAAGGTTTCAACGAGAAGAAACAAATAAGAATCGGACGAAATGCTGATGGTTAAAATGCGAAAAAAACATTTTGAGATACACCCTCCTCCCCCCCCCCCCCCCCCTCAAGCCCTACACACCACAAAATTGGAAAAACAGACACCGCGGGAGAAAAAACAAGGAGTGGGGACACGGGACCGGAGGGTTTTCCTCGTGTAAACAGAAAAGTAAATAAGAGGAGCAACCAGTGACGTGTGAAGAAAGCAAACATTTACAGTAGTTTATAAAAGTGTCCCTTTGTGATATTGTCACCAAGTGTGCCCAACGTTTTAAATTTAGATATGTAATAAGACCATTTTTCTGTGTGATGCCATTCCTAAGTCCACTTTCCATTATGATTATCTTTAGGTGTCTGGGGCTGTCATGTTGGAAGTAAAGTGTTTAGCTATAGGTGGAGTGTCACTTATTCGCGATGTCGAGTTTGTGGCCGTAAACTCTCTCATTCAATAAAATTTTAGTTTCCCCACTATATTGTATATTAAACAGCGTAGAGTTGACAACGTACGTATATCACATTAGGAATTGTGCAGTCGAGTTGCTAATTAACATTTAAAAACAAAAACAGAAACGTGGCTCGATACTCTATCAGCGGTCTGGACAAAATGGCAGAGCTGACATCTAGTACCCAAGCACAGGCCACACCCAGCAGACCTTCAAGGTGTTTTTATATACGAGGGACACTGCATTCCTCCCCGGCTAGGATACCTACGGGATGTGGCAAAAAGAGGTATTAAAAATAAAATATTTCCTTACATTCATTGCCTGTTTGCTAATAGAGTATCAAACCACGCTTCTGTTTTTTTTTTTTTTCTTTTTTATTAAACATCAACTTGATTGCACAATTTTGAATGCAAAATATGTAATCGGCTTGTTTTTTTGTTTGGGATACGGTTCAAGGTGAGAGGTTCGAATGAGTCAAAAACAACTTTCTTTTCATTTTTAGTTTTAAGGAAACAAATGAAACAAAACAAAAACAGAATCTTTTTTAGTAAGTTTTTTATGTGCAGTTAGTGTACTTTTATTCACGCTTTCATTCTCTTTATTTCACCGGGAATACGTGTTCCTACTTAATTTCCCTTCGTTGTGTTTTTCTTTCTAATTCCCCTCCTTGTCTTTTCTCTTTCTCTCTTTTGCTCTCATTCCCTGAGAGAAAAATATTTGGCGAGTGCCGGTTGTACATACTGAGAAAGGAAAGACTCCTTTCGAAACGTTTGTGTATAAAAGCCTCTTTTGTTACTCAACTTTCTCTTAGCGTTTTTAATATCTCGGTGAAAAGTATTTTTAAGTCGATTCAAAAGGTTCACGAGGATTTCTGTTTTCCTAAGCCAAAAACAGCGTACGGAATATCGAGAGGTACCGATGCTTCGATATAGTTTAGTTTAACACGAGAGTTTAATATTAAAAATACCCGATCAGTTTGTAAAAGAACGTACAAACTTAAAAAAAAAAAAAAAAAACTTACTTCTCCACCGATTTGGTTGCATTCTTCAACGAAAACAAAACTCAACTGGATCTCTCTAAGATCTTCCCGAAATCCTCCCTCCACTATAATAAAATAAACAAATGAGTTAGAGGACGCCAAGCATATTAATTACCGGAATTAGAATAGAACATAGATTCCCATTAATCAAATATTATGCACACAAAAAAAAAAAATCCAATTAATCCGCTGCCTCAGCCTCATGATTGTCTCTGCTTATTGCAGATAAGGAATTCCATTGGCACGTTTGGACTCAGCGTTTTGCTGGCATATCTTCTCTACCTCACCTGCGAGGCTCCCACACAGCACTTGTGTAAACTGCTCTTCGCCCGTCCCAAGTCAAACCCCGTTACCACCGTGTCGACCACCGAAACAACCCTTAAGTAAATACCCGCGACTTCAGCAACACTCTATTTCTAAATGATTCGCCCACGGTGAGAAGTTATTTGTTGTATAAAAGAGAGAGCACGCATTTAGCATATGACCTTTCTTACTCCTGGAGGGCTATATGTTAAAATAAAATAAATGTATATTGAGTTGTCTCTTTTTATATAGGAACATTCGCATTCTTTCGTTTTGGTCGGGCTTTTATTGGAGATTATATGCTCCGACAGCACAAAAAACAGGGTCTGCTTGAGAATAACACATTAGGAAAGATTTCAAGTGTGACACATAGGACCGCGTGCGACGTGCATGCTAATAAAAAGCAGAGCATACGGTGACTAGCGTTTTCTTCTGGCGTTAAATTACCATAAAGGGTTGCAAAATCGGCGGGGTTACTGCATTGCGCCTTTTATCAAATTTGAAAAGTTGTTGAGACACCGGTAGTGAGCATATAGCACACTTCCGTCTGTGCGTTACACCACTGGTTTTGAGACATTTGAGATTGTATTAATTCGATTTTTTCGGTTACTTGTAACACTAGCCGACGCCCTCTGAGTCATGTAGGGTGAATAAAACCCAAGTATAAAAATCCGAAACAATTCACATATGCGTCGCTTCCGTTGACTTCCACGAAAACACGAAGGACCAATCAAATATTCTATGGTTTACGTACGCTTACAAGTCAGCATGCACCGAATGTTTGCTACAAAGCGATTGACTATTGAAAACATTACCGCTAAAATAACAAATATCGAGGAGGATGAAAAAGCAGTGGCGCTAGACAGCTATGATTTGTGGTTTCAGCCTCTAAATCTCTTATGCACCGGTGCAAATAGGCAGAGATACACACGCCATTTGGAAATTCAGTCTTATAAACAAGTGACACATGTTTGTAGCTTACACATAACGAAAACACTTTAATGCGCCTGCGTATACACTCATCAAATCATAGTTAAATACATTCTTCAACTTTAAGCGTCTCGTCAACAGAGGACATTTAATATGAAAGCATTCAATTTGAATTAATTGCATAGCAATTTGAGACCTCGAGTGTTTACGCTCTTGGGACTTCGCTTTTGAAATCACATTCCGCAGTTCGCAATATTTTTAACGCCATCCCATAATAGGAACCTGTTGTCACCCATGCTGCTTGCAGCGTACTTTGAGGGTCTTTCATGGGGTGTCCTTCGGCGGCGCGAGTTGCAGCATCAAAGGGGTACCTTCTCTCCACAACGACCACCAATCTCAAGTCTAGATTTGGCATCGCGTGTTCCTTCTCCCCCTCTTCGGCGTTCGGTTAACGTAGCCCGCGGTCAAGCGAAGAGGCTACTGACTCGAAACGCATCGAGGAGAGGACCTTCGACGTTATAAATATAAGTCCCATCCAACCGTAGTCGACGCACGCTAAAAGAAGGGAAGTCGCGAGAGCACGACCTTCTCCCTCGCGGAGTGCGTTTGCTATCGTTCGACAACTTTCTATACATTTATGTGTCGCCCTGCACGACCGGAAAGAAACCCTCTCTTCCTTCTGGTCGTCTCCAGGATGCCTAGCGAATATTCTGACCTTCGGCGACGCCAGTGATCCAAAATCATTTAATGGTCATTCTTGTCATGGGTGTCTCTTGGATTCGGTGGCGGCTAGTACTACTGGTAATACCCGGCGCTCTTCTGTTTCAACGGGTTACCGGCGACATCGATGAGGCAACGACGAGAAACATAGAAGCAGACTTTGACGGAATATTCAGGGATATTATCCGGAAGGCTGCGCCCTTAGCATCTGAAGTGGCCGGAAGTGCGGAGTTGAGCGGTCCTTGTTCGGCGAGCCTGTTGAAGTTTTTCCTGCACCTACGACTCAAGGAGCCATGGGCATTGAGAAGTAAGTTCAAACTTTCTTTTCATTTTGATGCTGGTGTTAACATTGCTTCTGTATCGTTGTTGACTATCCGTAGAATAACAAAAATTAAATACTAGTATGCGGATATCTGGTAAGTTTGTATATTTCGTTTTAATGAACCCTGGACTTAAAACTTACAAAAAGTACACACCTACTGCTACTGTATATAGATTCCCCAAAACGTTGGCCTAAATTTTTATAACCCGAGGTTGTTTTTTTTCTTTTGTTTTTACATATAAATACTAGTCTATATTTGAAGAGAGCCTATGCATGAGCGCCAATCGAACACATGCGATTTTAATCTAAGTTGAATTCTTGAAGTCAAAGACATTCCATGCACTTCTCGAGCATAAACAAAGTAAAAAATCGCAGAAATAAAAAAAAATATATATACCTTCTGTTTGTCGATGCAAGACATAATTAAGCTCCAAAAACGAGTGCTTGTTTTTTTGTTTTTTTTTACTAGTTTGAATATTGGCGCGTATTATGGCTACACCAGAAAGGTAAACAGATACCTGTTAACAACATAAATTACCGGTTGTCAAAATTGTTGTATCTTAAGTACAGCCTTCAACGTTTTGTACCAGTAGTCGGAGCGATGCTTTATATATGTAAGCGATTAAACAAAGAATATTACATAATAAAATCAATTATATTGTTTAGTTTTGGATTGTCACGCGCCGCGATACAAATATAATTGCTTTATTCGTTCGTCCTGTGGTATATGGTGTTACCAAACCCTGTGCTCGAAATCGTATGATTGAGGTTTAGCCCAGTAAAGTTTAGTTGCGCGCATTAGCCAGTGCAACTTTGTGTGCAACTTATATGAATTCTAAGTAGTCAGATTGTTAAGCCTAAGTCCAGAAAGCTTTAGTTGTCAACCCAAGACGACAAACAATGTCGGGGCTACATATCAGATAAATATACATACCAGACACAAAAGATGGGAGCTGAAAACTCTTTCAAGTTTGAACTTAAAGGATTTAAATAGTTCCTTAAAATCTCAAAATAAGTTCGTGGTTTTTTCAACTAAACACAGCATTATAACAAATTCTATTTTTAAAAATTCTCAAAATCAATCTGAGGGAAAGATTTCATAAAGCTAAACCGATACAGAACTTATACCATCATGCGTAATCAACACATTATAAATTGATCAGATACACCTGCCTCTACATTCATACGGGGCATTAAAGGATCTATAGGATTCGGAAGAGCAATACATGTTTCTCGTACGCTTTATTAGTGTCACATTCAGTAGTCTGTAATTGTATAAAACATGTGTTAACTGCGGCAACGTCCTCCTTATACTCTACGCACATTTCATCTATAAAATATAGTAAAATGTAAAAACCTAACTGCAATTGTACCAAAAAAAACTTGGTGGAAAGTTTCCGCTCCATCGTAAGAACAAATTTATATCTAGAATAAAATCTGCTAAAGAAAAGTGCACCCAAAACATCAGAACCTAATTTACGTCACATATTCAAGAATAAATAAATTTGGAAAACCGTGCTTGACGTTTCCTTTGATTGTTTAGTCCATCTACTTCAGAGCAAAGGAAAGACTTGATGACCGATGTCTGATCGACGTTGTAGATTATTTCTTTGTCTTTCAGCTCAAATCAGAAACAAACACGGAAAAAGGCAAGGTCAAAGCGCAGTTAGGAGCCGACACACGAACGCGCCTTACCGGTTTCTTTTCCTCAAGGAAATTGTTTGACAATCAAATATGAACAGAAGATCCAGCGTTTTGTTTGCTTTTCGCGTTAACATGGAAAAGGTTTGTGCTAGCTCGGAATTTAGATTCTCGGTCGCGCGGTGCCGTAAATAAAAGAAAAAAGATATATATATTTTTAGCCTGCAGAAATGACATTCTTGACGAAACATATTTCTTTTTGTGTTTTTATCTCTAATTTTTTAAACCCAAATATATATTCGGACCTAAACATTTAAAGACGGTACCATGCAAAATTTCTTCACCTTTAAGGACAAGTGTTATTGGAGATGAATACGACAAACCGACCTCGGTTGCGCAAGTCAGTACACCAATTTGACCATGATATACTGTTAGATATATCTATCGACACCTTCAATCGTGCCCTTCTTATTGTTATGCATAGCTGTGGTTTTCGAAATTTCAGTGACGGGGCTTGACAATTTTGGAATGCATTCATTGTGAGCTGGTTCATCTGTAGCAACACTGCTGCTGCATCAATAACCTTCAAACGTTAAAAGGTTCCAATATTGAACTAATTTTGATAATTGGTAAAATTAAGTTCAAACATACTTTTGAGATAGTCGGCCTCGTTTTTTGTCTGTTTAGTGTAAATCTGTGCACTCACTGAAGACGGCCAGTGGCAGAAAAAACGTAAAATAAAAACAAAAATACATGATAAGGCAGCTGTATTTTAAAGTATGGTGACGTCGTCAGCTTACCGTCTTCATTATTTTGCTTTTTTTCAATCACGACAAGTGTATTGAACCTGATTTTTGTAAACTTACCACAACTTAAATTTATTTCAGTTCGGTTGTAGCCTAGCGGGAGACTGCTCAAGCACTCATAACGTAAAAAAAATGACCGCCAGTCCGTATCACATTCAGAGATAGCTTGGCAAGTTTTTCTATTTGTTGAAAAGGCAAGTGCATGAACTTGCGAAAATGGTTCCGGAAAGGCACCCTCGCTCCTGTTGTTCGTGTTAACTGGAACGCGTTTCGAATCGCATTTTTACATGCTGGGCGTTCAGGGGTTCCACATGTTTAGATGTTGATATCGCAAATGAATATTTATGCTGTAATTATACTCAGAGTCATATAAAAACTTTCCTGGTTCGGTTACTCTCTATATTAAACATGGTGTTTTTGCGTGTTTACTTTGAAACTATCTGGTCTCGTGAGTTCTGCCTCATATGTATGTGTGTGGGCAGTTCGAAAGTTGGCGAGCGATTTTTGTTTTCTCTTGCCTAAAATGCTCTTGAGCAAGTTTAAATTGCAGTCTTTCGGTAGTATAATCATAGAATTAAACATGAAATCATCCACAATATTTGGAATGTAAGAGCGTAACAAGACTCCCATATTTCAAGATTAACTTTTTTGTGCATGAATCTTTCTATATGGCATTTTCGGTGCATTCAATTGGGTCCACTTTTTTGTTTTGTTTTTATTATACTGGTTGGCTGTGAAATTACTTGCACCAAAGGTTTTGTTAAGTTAAAATTTATTATAAAACAGCCCCAAACATCCGTTTCCTATAATAAAACCAGTAATGTTTCACGCAAACCATATTCAATAACCAAATTAATTTCTTTCCTTTGCTCTCATTAATATTACGTATAAATCACGCAAGCCAACACTCCGTTCAAGAACATTAAATTTCGTGCATTACTTACTGAACAGCACACTTTTCATCTTGCCTTACACTTCCGACGTAATGTGTCAATTTGTCTATACATTTGTTGTTGTTTTCTTTTTTTCTGATTGCAGGTTTAAAAGGAAAATGTTACCGCACTTGATTCTCATCAACATTTTTTTGTTAATAATTGCCTTGACCACATCTTCAAATGTTATGTTTCACTAAAAAAGTATTCAATTTCAGTGCTGACGGCCAATGGCTTGCTCCCCACAAACCTTTTTGAGGGAAGTTTCATCAACTTGGGAGGCTATGAACAGTGTCTCAAGACAAGACTTCTGGATTCCGAAGGCAAGGTCACGCTCAAGGGCCAGTATTGTTCCCTGTTCGTTAAGCCTCCCAAAGCACTTATGGAAAGCACGGTGAAGAAGTTCCAAAAGGTCGGTCTACTACGGGTGAGTGAGGTCACGTCGTTAACTTAATGATTGAGCAGTGTGGTGCGCCAACTCCATATTATTATCCTGGGGTTAGTATGTTATTCCACTGATGGTTTTAGCACCTTTCCTTGTTTTTTTTAGAAGACGGGGCTGGAATAGGAGCCGGACGCAGGCGGTAACGGACGCCGTCGCGCCGATTTCATGGCCACCTCTTACGGACGTTTCAGGCGACCTTAGACGGTGGTGGAATAGCAGACGACGCCGGAAACTGCCGCGCGTCTGCTCGCACGAATAGCAGGCGGTGCCAGACGTCAGACTAGACTCACCTGACGCGTGCGTCAGGTGCGTGCGTCTTGACAGGGAGATCTGCAGGCTTGCGAGCGTGTTCGGCCGAACAGCCAAGCCAATCCAGGAGTAATGGGCGCTGATCTGTGGACGGAGCTAGGAGCGGTCCGTGATCTCCACCTCAATTGCGTCTAACGGTGTGAATACTTCGCGAACAAATTGTTTTCATGGAACATAAAAAAGTGTCTTATCTAAACCCTTCAAAAAAATTTTCCCTTTTACTATTTTTTAAGCGAAAAATGAAATTTATCGGAAAAAAAACCATGGAAAACAAAATAAAGGTGCCTAGAGCCCTTCATCAATTTAAGGTTACGTGGGTCGTATCATCGGCCCGAAACATTTCTCGCGAATTTATGGCGTATGTGTTTGCGATATGATCTGGCTATTTTAGCTCCGTTTTTACTTGACGTTGGCCTGATGTGCAGCCCATCCCTTGACCAAGTTACAATAATTGTATTATAATTAGAGGCAAAACAATCATAAAACGCAAAAAACAATATTTAATACACTTGTTGTTAACGTCGGTAAACTTGCCAGTTTACATTTTTAAAACGGGGACATACGTTAGTGGAGGGTATTTTCTATCACCTAATATAAAAACTTAAGTGTTACAAAATTATGTAGGATACTCGAAAAATATATTTCTATGTTGTTTTCTGTTTCTTATACGCCCTTCAAATGCAGCGCGTGACCATGCGCCTGCTTTTTTTTAACTTTTTTTTTTTAAGCAACGGATTGTTTTAGTAAGCCGTCCTCACGAGCCAGTTTTGCCACGCCATCGCAGCCGCCATGCATCGAAGAAAATTTAGTCTCTCTGCACTATCTTTTCCGCTATATTTACCGGGGAAACTAAATTGGGTGTTGAGGTCACGTGGCGTCAATTTTTCTGCTAAATTTAGTGAGAAAACTGTGGGACTCGGAAGGGTATGGAGGAAGAGTATGGGAGGGTACGCAGGAGGATGATAGGGAGGGTACGATGAAGGAGGAGGAAAGAAGGAGATGAAGAGGAGGGGAGGAATGCGAGGAGGAAAGGAAGAGGAGCACACCCTCCTCTCCATACCCTCCCCTCCCCCTCCTCAAAAGCTGCGCTCTAATTTTGCGTTACAAAAATTTGTAAACGTTTTTTTTTATGGTTCGTACAGTTATTATAAAACACGTACAGTAACATGACGAACACCACGATGGTGCACTTTTAACGATGCCTCATTGGTCCCATCAACTCGTATAGCGTCGGCTGAGTCTGGACTATCGGCTGAAACGAATTATAACAGCTTATTTTCAGCTCAAAAGCCCCACTTTAGGATCATGAGCATTGCAAGCGGCGCACGTGCACCTTTGTAGGCGCCAGAATGGCGGCACGCACGAGCCGCTTTCACGCAAACACAAGTCATGTGACGCAAACGAACGAATGACCGTCGTGGTGTTGTCAGACAGCGGAGGAAAAAGCAAAAATACTCTGATTGTAGCTTTCTATCCTCCCTATAGAACGAATTGAAACGTGAAGCAATTCACGTTCTGCCTACATTGTACATCTTCTTACCTACTTGTATCCGCGAATTCGCAGATGACTGGACGAAGACTATGCGCCGAGAAAGGGAGGAAGAGTAGGAGACGACAGAGGCGCGGGGACGTCAGAACGTCAAACTCTGAATGGAAAGAGTATTGGATGGACGTAAAGCTAGCTGTCCTCGCCTCCAATGTACTCGTCGAGCGCGTTCGAATCCGAGATCCGAACGCCGGACGCCGGCGTTTCGCGTCCTATCGTGTTCGACGAGGCACCATGGCCGAACAGCACACGACAAAACAGCACGGTCAAAACAGCAAGCCTCACAACAGCACAGCGTCAAAACAGCAAGCGTCAAAATAGCACGCTACAGAACAGCACAGAGTCAAAACGGCAGAGCGACAGAAGGGCATTCGCCAAAATGGCACGGCGTCAAAACAGCACAACGTCAAAACAGCAGAGCGACAAAACAGCACAGCGACAGAACAGAACGGCGTCAAAACAGCACCGTGACAAAACAGCACAGCGTCAAAACAGGACATTGACAATATAGCTAGGGTTTGGCGTTTTCGGTTTTTATTGTTTTTAAATTCGGCGTACTGTTTTCGCGTTTTATTCCTAACAGAAGCTTTCGGTTTATTGCGGTGAATAATTGTAGACTCATAAACTTCTCGGTTCTTTTCGGTTTATTGACGAAAACCAGTACACTGACAAAAATGCCATATTGAAGAGCGTTTGTTTAAAATATATAGTGAGTGAACCAGGCACTGGTTTCCTTATCTATTGCTGCGACCTGTTCAGCAATACGCACTGGGCCCCTATCCCTATCTGACATAATCGTTGTGTGCTCCTATTTGTACACAGGACGAACATGAGCTTCACTACCACTTCGGTCGGAGAAGCTTCAAAATCTAGAAATTTGCAAGCATTGTACTCAGTGCGTTTTTTTACCCATTTTCACGACTGCAAGACGTGGTAAATTCGCGCAGACCACAGAAACGACAATTAAACAATCGTATTTATTCCCTTCTCTAGTATACTGAAGCTAGAAGTGTTAAAAAAATGTGCTGCATTAACGGACGCCCTGATTTTCATTGTTCAGTTCACGATTAAACTCTCTTCTTTGAACAAAGAATTCGGCACACAAATCCCTATCAGGTGAAAAACCAAGTTTTCGTCTGAAGAGCCCTGCGCCCCTGGAGCTTTTGTTGAAAGTTGAACCAATCTCGGAGACAAGCTGAAAACTCCGCAAGCAGGTGGTCATACGGTCAGTAATGCCTGACCCCCCCCCCCCCCCCACACACACACACACACTCACCACCCACCCACCTCTCCAAACGCCTTTGAAAATACTGACATTTTGTCAGTTAAAACCGAATTCCGAAAAATGAATTCGGCGTACCTTTACCGGTTTTATCCGGTGTAAGCCGAAAACGTTGAACCCTGAATATAGCGTATGAAGTTCAAAAATGCATGTCTCAAAGTAGGCACTGTAAAGCAATGGACGGTCTATTGCTATTTGCGCCGAGGTGTTTTGGTGGCGCCCTCTTATGTTTTCCCTCCGTGACGTCACGACTGGGATTTGCCTCGCCGTGACGTCAACAGTTGTTATTCTGGCTACTTATTATCGGGTGCAATGACGAGTTCGATCGTGTGTTTAAAGAGCACAGTAGAAGCTAGGAGCCATCGCAATTCGGAACTAACCCCGTCAAAGTTGATAATCTGACAGTGCTCATATGCCCATGGTTTGGCCAATCGTGGGAAGTAGGGAGCCTTCATACACTTTCGCCCTAGTGGAAAGCTGACCACCGCGACGCTTGTGGCAGCGCACATCGCTAATATTACTTACGCATTAAGGAGAATGCAGGGATTGGTGTTCCACGCGCCGCACGAGCTGGCCTCGGCAGCAGTAAATTTTCTAAAGCAAAAACCTAAAACAAAGTGTATCTTGCACGCGCGTTCGTCAACGCTTTATTTTGGTTATTTACTTCGAATCTTTTATACGGGGAAGGTGTGCGCGTCTATCGCGTGGAACACCAATCCCTGCATTCTCCTTGGTGCTTGGGTAATATAGCCAATGGTCTATTCGCTTAAAGCCAACTCGTCCACGGACAATTTTTCGAATCCGCTGTCTTGGGAGCAAGTTCGGAGTGGGGAATGTACTTGATGCGCAAATGAAGGCTCTCTGGGCAGTACCTAAGCCCCCCCGCTGCTGTATATTCTTTCTGTTTATCGAGCAGTTCTACTCATTTTGACGCACAAGTTTGCTGGTGATGGCGTCTACAATGAATGAATCAATCGCAAGGCAATGCGTTGTCGTTAATTGTTAAAAGAAAAAAAAAACAACAGAAAGCGTGTGCGGCAATGGTGTGCTCAGCCCATGCATGCTGTACGGCAACAGCATTGAGGCTGTGACATGTTTCTGCTTCACCGGTTTCCACTCGATCGAGGCCTTCGCCTGCAATGATCTCTGTTTCGTCGCTGTGCTGTTTTTGACGCCGTGCTGTTTTCGCACGTGCTCTCCCGTCGCTGTGCCTTTCAGACGCTGTGCTGTTTTGTCACTGTGCTGTTTTGACGCGTTTTCGTTCGACGAGTGCAGTGGGGACAATGGCCGCTAGCTTTAGGGCCACCCACTACTCTTTCCAATCATAGTAAAGCACTAATTAGATCAATGCTGGAGTACGCTAGCTCCGTTCGGTTTTCCCACATGGCAGACGGGCTGAACGCGCTCGAAGGCGTCCAAAAGCAAGCTCTTGAGTTCATTTTCAACGCACTTAGAAACAGAACTTGTGGGACGCACTTGCTCACATACACCAATATGAAGACGTCAGAAACTAGGGCGAGACTTAATAGATTAACACATCCGCATCTCTTTATACACGGTAACTTTAATATTCATATTGAGCAATATATCACTTTTTCATGAACGGAATCGGCAGGGATCAACCCTACCAGATCAATTCAAAAATACCAATTTAAAAACAATGTTCTCAAATAATAATGTTTCCCTAGGTCAATTCAACACTGAAATTGACTGTCAAATGAAATTGCCACGCTTGCATCACTCACCAGTCTTGATGACGCACTTCATCAAATATATGTTTAGGTCGCATTTTGGAAGTTTATTCAAAGTGTACATCTTAAGAAAACTTCCACTCCTGCTAAAGCTTCGAAGTGAGAGCCGCAGCATCGATTAAGTAAAAAAAAAAGAAAATATAATTGCTAGTCATCGTCCACCGAATTTTCAAATAAAAAGCGTTTGTCCCGCCAAGAATTAAGTAACCAGACATGCATGTGGCCTTCCATCAGACCCGTTACAACATATTTCAAGTTAACCTCTGACGCAACCTTGAGGCTTCACCTTGTATGTAAATGAAAATGCATAGACCCTACGTTGCATTTTTATTTCTTACCGGCTTATAAGATTAGCGTACTGGTAAGGAAGCAGCGCGTTGCTGAATCGCTTCCTTGAAATGCCACGTCGATTGGAGCGCATAAAAGGCAAATTATCTCCCGCAATTCTTTCTCATGTAGGCACCCCTATAGCTTCACATTTGGCTGAATGTACTTTGTTCTCGTTGCATTTTTTCGCGCCGCTGGTGCGAAGCTCGTGGAGTACTCTGTTAGTATTCGACGTTTTCGATCATCGAAAAAGTTGGAAATTCGGAAGTTGTGTCGTGTCATAGCGAACACGTGACTAAATTTAGTTATGTTATGCCTAAACTAAACGAAATTTTAAAAACACAATTAAGTTGGACATAAGACTTACGCACCTGCGAAGAAAAGAAAGGTGCCAAAATATTTCGGCAATGGGCAATATTCGTATACGTTTGAATAAAAAAACGTGGCTGTCCCAAATGCACATTTGATATTTTTCTTAAACGATAGCTAAAGCGTTGTACTGAGGAAACTTGACTCCTCTTGTCGCAGTCTCCCACCACGAAGTCAGTAATGCTCCCCAATAGAACAGAAACAAAAACGTCAATTTAGATGTATATTTTTTTTGGTTTGAAATATAATGTTAGCGTAGAGGCTTTTCATTATCCAGGAACTTGAGGACATTTAAATTCAAAATGTTCCGAGCACAAAAAATAAACTAGTGGATCAATTAATAAATATCATATTTGGACGAAGCGGGGCACCCCTTAATTCCCTTAGCGATCAATGTTATCCGGTTCCCTGTATGCTCATTATTAAAGAGTCTTATATATATATATATATATATATAGGTGAGGCAGAGTAGTTTGAGAACAATGGACCGGGAAAATGTAATAAGTCAGAGGTCAGAGATCCGTACTTGCGGAGTTGCTATGCTGGTTATGCTAGGAGTTTATTGCATGTATTACGACAGTTTCGCCGAGAGGCTCGGCTTCATGCCATCTCCTGACGAAGCCGAGCCTCTCGGCGAAACTGTCGTAATACATGCAATAAACTCCTAGCATAGAAACTCCGCAAGTACGGATCTCTGACTTATATATATATATATTTTTAAAGGAACCATTTTGCCGTGGCTTTCCCTGCAATATGTATACTATGACTGTGTTAGCACTGCTTCACTCGAACGACTATTTGCAAATCCTTACTATACTCCGATTTACGCTCGGTGCGACCGCAGCCAACGTTACTTTCCGATGGAGACAATCGGGCAGAGCGAAACGTTAAATATGTCGTGGCGATCGTCGTTTTCTCCATGTCCAATAATGCAAGAAATGCAGTATCCAAGAACCGATCGTTTTAGTTTCTTTACAAGACGATATAGAGTCTGGTATAGTATAAGATCGCGTGGCATAAATATACAATAAATGTATAGGTTACGTTACGTTTAAGTTCAACCCATGTCAACATCCCCAGCGTGCAAACTAAATTTGTGCCTAGTTCACGTGACGTAAGGTCACGTAAATTTTCTCGACAAATTTAGCGGGGAAACTGAGTATGTGTATAGGTCGCGTGACGTCAATGTTCCGCCTAAATTTTGAGGGGGAACACTGAATTGACGCGAAGGCCTCTAACGTCAGGCAACGTGACGTCAAGTTTCCCGCTACATTTAGCGGCTGACGCGAATTGGCGTTGATGTCCCGTGACGTCAATTTTACCGCAAAATTTAGCGGGAATGCACGGACAGGCGGACGGAAGGACAAAATTGTGAGACTGGGGGGTAGCGTTGAAAAGCATTTTGTACTTTGAGAAAAAAATAAGGCAGGAAATACGCTACCGTCAGCGTGTGTAACTGGTTCAGCCGGCGGTAGGCCAACGCGCAAAGACGACGAGCGCCGAGTACGGCGCACTTTTGGTGCTGATTGATTGGCTCTATCTGCAGATTGTAACGTGGGCTGCGATCGGACTTAATGCGAAACGTATTATAATTGCTGCCTTTAAGCGCCTCGCGTGGCGCCTCAGAAAAGGTCAATTAGAGAGCGGTGATTTATTGTTTTAGGGCCGTGAAGATCCCTTAACCTTCAATACGGACACAAGGGTTCAGAGCGTGGACTTCAGACTCGGGATTTGCATGCCATCCCCGTGCTCCAGCGAAGAACTCAACTTCCTCGTGAGATCTGGTAAGACCGCTTAAAGACATCGGGGTGCGTTTGATTCACTTAGTTATTTTACCTGGCTCCTATTCAAATTTTAAGATGCTTAGCTCGATACGCAAATGCTTGGTGAAGTAACAGCTTACACTGGAAGTAAGCGGCATGCATCCGACTCAAAAAGAACAAATAGTTAAATATTTCAATTCGGTTTTTCTTTTAATAAAAAAAACGAGTTTAGAGGACGAGTGTGCTTGGCTGACATCAGATCGCTGCGTGCCGTTAAAGAAATACCGACGAATGCACATACGATCTCTGATAAGAGCCCAGAGCGAGGTCAAAATGTGCCGCCTCGTGGTGTAACGTAGTCCAGGAAGTGAGGAATATATTGTAATTGAAATTCGAGCACACGTCCATGCGAAGTCAGTTCTCAATGTGCTGGCTGTTATGGAAAAACATCAAGCCATAGCTTTATTGGTGATGTTTACGCATAAACAAATTTTATTATGTTTCTGTTTTTGTGGATGTCATTTCATGCGTATATTTTCTTTTTCTTTTTTTTTTTTCTTTTTTTGTTGCTGTTTTTATTGTGTGTGTGTTTTAATGTAAAGTGCAGCACCGCCAGGTTGTGAGCACCTGGGCTGTATGTTTCAGCCCCTGACTACTGATAGCCATTTCTGACTCAATCGTGTTTTTTTCTAGATAAGTTTTGCGAGTTTTCAATACCGCTACAGTCACACGGTATAATAATGCATGAGAGATAGTTGTGTGCGTCCTTTTATATTTGACAAGCAAAACCTCAGTTCAAAGTACAGATTTGGATTTCATTGAGGATGTCAAAATTGTTTTTTCATCCAAACACGATATGCTACATTCCGAAAATAAAATAGCATTTAAGGTCCTCAATGCACTACCATAATAGTTTAAAAATATGGCATTTTATCAAGAAAATTCTAAGGTCCCAACAACCGCGTTTGTCAGAACTTAAAATGCACACTCTCTTTGGGGAATTTTTATATTTTATTTGCAAGATGTTAGCCTATCACCATAGTTAAGCAGACATTATCTTTTGATTCTTTGCCGAAAAAAAACAACATTTTTGTAGATCTTTTAGATACGGATAAAATTTCTTGTTATGCGCACCTCTTCTCAGTATATGGTATTGCTCATAAACATAACAAACAAAAAAGTGTTGGTCACATTTGCCCTTTTGTTATCTTAATCCTGGTTTCCCTACGTCACTCCTAACTGTGTGCATTGGATATGTGATCTCGATTTTTTTGCTATGCTAATGTTTCCGACTTTTTTTATATTATGTGTCAATAACGCCCTCAATTTCCAGCTGCTATGTCACTTTGACGCGACAATTACCTAATATTACACATCTCTCACATTTCAGTATTCAATAAATTTGGCATCAATTCGACTATCAAAGGTTGCAGGACGGATGACCCTAGACCAGTCACGCGGCTTCAGGCCACCTGCATGTACGTATGGCACGATAGTCCTCATATAGTCACTGGTAACTTGAGAAACGCAGGTTATGACGAGTTCCGAGAATCTCATTATCATCCCTCAGCTAATAAAACTGCGGCATCAATCGCAAGCCGAAGAAAGACTCGCAAAGCAAGACGCGCGAAGAAGCTATGCGGCACCCTGCGTTTTTTAAGCATTCAGTGATTATAGACCTGTGGCGATAGCCACTGGGAAAAGAAGAAGATCGCGTGCAATTAAAAAGGAGATCAGTTCGATATTGGAATGCGTCAGACGTAGTCGCTTTTCGTCTGTCTTTCTTTACATTGATGACCCGGACGTGATTTTTTTTTTCCCTGATGCTCCGTAAATGTTTATTTATGATGCTGAAGCCGCACGTAGTCCTGGCAGCCGAGGAGTAGTAGGGAAAAAATATCGCGTTCGGGTCACCAATGTAGAGAAAGACAGACCAAAACGGTTCAAAAATATACGAAAGAATCAGACGAAGAGGACGGACAGGACAAACATCTTTCGAAAGTCGAAAGATGGTTGTGCTGTCCGTCCTCTTCGTCTGACTCTTTCGTATATTTTTGAATTTATTACCAACGCGCTCAATCTAAGTTTATCAAAACGGTTCCCTGCTTTGGATATCCACTTACTTGTTTTTTGGTTGTTTTTTATGTATATATACAGCTGCTTCTTCTGCGCCTTAACGCTTCTGGTTGGCCTGGGGACGCTCACCGAGTGGCACTTTAAGAGACAAGCTACCGTAAATGCCAAACGGAGTCCAGGTATTAAACGAATACTAAGTACTTTTTCTTTCCCTCTTAGAAACATGACCTCAATTGTTCGTACTCGTTTAGGTGTTATACACATATCTACAGATTTTAAAAGTGTTGGTAATTTGAGATTTTTAATGGAAGGTTCGTAAATGTTGCTCTTTGTGTCGTTGCTTTTATTTCGCGTTCCTAAAATCTAAAAGAGACATTAATATATGCGTAGGCATTCGCTTGCTAGTTGGTCTTGATTTCTTTTCAAACGTAAAACGTTCAATATAAGATAACCTACCATAATATTTTACGCTAGTTAACAAATAAACGCACCGCTAATAGACATTGGAAAAGTAATTACAATGGACAGACAGAACGTTTGCCTTCTCCGTCGCTTTTAAGATCTGTTTTCATATCGAAGTATGTTCTACCAACTAATCCAGATTCTGGAAAGCTGCCTCAATTAACACTAGAAAAAGCCTACATTTTATTTTCTGCCATATTAATACAAAAGAGTTACCTGAAACTTCTTAACAGGTAAAAGTTTTCAGCGGATCGGTTTCTCCCAGATGACACAGTTTTGTTGAAACTTTTCTTTTTTCACCCCTCGATTTCCAGGCTCTGCATGCAGAGTCCTCATATGGTTCTCCGTGGTGACAAACACACGGCGTCTTTTCGACACAAGTCAGTTCAAAGGCAGCAGCCGTGAGCCGTTGCTGTTTCTGAGTGGCATCAAATTGATCCTCTGCTTCTGGGTTGTCTTCTTTCACTCCTACACCATAATTCAGCCGGAATTCTACCGTAAGTCAGGCCTAAACTCTGAATGGCCCCTATTTTGGTGCAGCAGTGTGCACAGCATAAGTGAACTTTACAGGGGTGGAAACGGTGGCAGAAAGGGCGAACGAAAGTGCGCGGTGACGTCATAATATTGTGCTCTGGCGTCCCCGTGATCTGCTCTCCTTTCTCAATTTCTACTCGGATAGGGTCCGCAATTTCTCTTCCTATTCGGGTTCCGAATATCAACACCCCATCTGCTACTGCCATAATCCCATTGGCCGACGAGCGCTAATAAGATACTTTGGACGCATTCCCTATGCTGTCAGTGACTATCGTTTACCTACCGCAATTGCTTTTCAAATGTGCTCCACTCGAGAATGAAAGCACAGCAGGACGCACGTGCGGGGAGTGCGAATTTATGGGACAGGTCTGGTTGAGACGTTTTAATGTTATCTTTAGTTACTACTGCTTTGAAACGGTGATGTTAAACACTTTTAACATGCGATTTTATTGGTAAACAACATAACTTTAAAAATATACGACGGCTTATTCGCAGATAATTATCAAAATCCGTCACTAAAATGTTATCATCCTTAAAAACGCATCCTTTATGTTTTTTTTAAAGTTTCTCTTAGGTCGATTTTTTGTCTTTTATATTTTGATATCTATATACATGATCAATAAATCCGTCATGAGAAACTCGTCACAAAATAAGTATTTACTCTTTATCAACTTATTAATCGTTCTTTTTTCTTTCTTTTTTTTTTTGGGGGGGGGTAAGGAGAGGTGGGTTGATACTAAATTTTTTTTTTCATTTTGTTGGAAGCTGGAAGAGAAAGGAATGACATCACATTGGCCAATAACCGCCCTGATTTAACAATCGTAAGATCATAATAATTTTATCAGCAACCTACCAGCCACGACGACATTTATCGCAGGCACGAATAGATTGCCTTGCCTGGAAATATATGACAGCATGATGTTTTGTTTTTTCCAGATTCTGGCTTTAAGATATTTGATCTGGGAGATCGGATTTACTTTCAGCTAATTGTCAACGCCTTTCTGTCTATCTCGAGTCTATTCTTTATCAGGTAATATAGTGTTCATTACTTGTACATACTCTTACTAGCTCTGAAAAAATATATGCACGCATTCGCACAAATAATATTAGCTCCCGAAATCATCAAGTATATCCGCACATTAATTTAAGGTTTGATAGATGTATAATATGTTTAAAAAATACTGAGTTTGTTGCAAATCGAAAAGTAATGCAGCTTGAGGGCACCGTAGGCATGGCTTGAACTTATTTCAAGTATTGAAAGCATTACATATTGACCATAGATTTTCAAGTCTGAACAAAAAACAAATATCGATAAACATTTGGCGGCATCAAAAATGCAAAATTGGTCAAAGCCAAAATAAAAAAACTAAAAAATTTTCCTTCTGTTTGTCGATGCGACACATAATTAAACTCCGAAAGCGAGTGCTTCTTTTTTTTTTTTGTTGTCAAAAACACGAAATCGGTTTACACGAATAATAAATCTCAAAACTTTTTCTTCGCCTAGGACAGTTTTTGTCCATACTCTTCCCTCTTAGACTGCAATTCTTAGTTTTCTGTAAGTGTATTTTGCCGACAATATCCGCTTTTAGCGTACATTCGAAACAGATCACAAAATACACCGATATATTAAAGATAAATGAAAAGCAAAAATATCTGACGCCTTTTATTTATTAAAAAAACACCGGAAAATCTACAGCCTACTTACAACTCGAAATTGGATAAACTCACCGGTGAATCCGCAAGTATTGAAGTAGTTTTTAATTTCATGACACTGAAGCAATCGAATGAGGGGCAAGATAAAAACTGGAAAAACAGAATTCAAATATCCATGTCTTTAGTGTTACGGTGTTCTCGAATATGTCCGATGAATACAATATAAAATAAAACTAAAATATCACTGGTAAAATTCCTATTTCAAACACGAATGCCGGTTTAGCAAAACGATTCATGCATTTTTATGTATGTTTTTCGTCAGCAGAAACAAACTAGCTTTCATTAGATTTTAATGCTTGTGGTTCTATGCCAAAGCACGAATTTTACACAATAATTCCTATAATCTATTCAAGCACATTTAGTCGTGCTACGAGCCTTACAAGTATATACGGGTGTAATATATGTTGGTTTTTTATAGATTGCCTATTTGTGTAGAAAAAGAACGCGTCTCTTTTATGTGGTGATAAAGTTCTTTCAGGCATACCGGTGAATCCCCCCCCAGAAAAAAAAAGAAAAAAAAACTGCGAAATTTATGAGAAAATTTAAAATGCACTGCTGCTTTGTATAATTCAAGTTACACTCACTTTCTTTTTAAGATCGAAGGATTTTCTTATACAATCTCACTATTCATAACTAATATGTGGGCGTATTCTTTCAACAGGGGCTTTACGTTTTCTTTTTTCATGAACGAGACAAGCACTTACCGCGGAAGCAGCGGTTATATTCGAACCTATATATTCGCCACCATCAAGCGTTACTTGAGGTAAGCGACCTTAAACTCACCTCACCATATTTATTAATCACTAATTTAATGTGTATTTCCACACCTCTGCTGTTGTTTTCTTCCAGGCTAACAATGCCAGTGGTGGTAGTCATGCTGCTGGCCTTCCTCTTGCCCATCATGGCGGACGGTCCAGCCGACCAGGAACTTTTCACACAACAGATTAACGGTTGTGCCAAAAACTGGTGGACGGTTCTCGTCCACACCAATAACTTCAATCCATTGAATGAGTCTGTAAGTCTAATTCACTCTAGACCTATATGCTCTGTTTCACATTAAGTATGGCCCATGCCAACGCTAAGATCCGATGGAGGAAATCAGCATCGAAAACGTGTTTTGTCATGGCACTTGTCGTCTTTGTGTGTTTTCTTTCTCCACATACGTCAATCATGCACAGTGAACGTGGAGTGATTTCAGACTTTTCTTCGCATAGCTGGTTTAGAGGATAACAACAAATGAAAAATGACATGAACCTCGTGACCATAGCATTTTGGTGCTGCTTGATTGGCTGCATTTGATCGTAGCGTTGACTTCGGTCGGACTTAAAGTGAAACGATGGCCATGGGATGATACTTCGAATGCCTATGATATTTTTCTTACTCGCTACTTTATTACCTATTTGTGGTTTAATGAAAAGAAAAGAGTGTCGGCATCAAGAATTTTCCGCAGTGCCCAAACAACAAGAGAACATAGGTGCACCTTTTTTTAAATGTTCACGCAAACGATGTGCACGTATCGACCCTAGACTTGTTCATTTTTATTCCCTCTGCGCGCATTTATATCTACAATTGTGCGCGGATTTGGCACTTATACAGGGTGTTCGCGCCGCTTCCGGCTGCCATGACACGAGGAGAGAACTACTTTCGGTTCTCTTATGTTTACCTTGTGTTTGGGTGAATGTTCGACTACCCTTGGGGATTTAGCGAGGAATTGCTTCAAAAGTACCCTTTAGAAATGCCCCAGTATGCTGCTCTTTAAGTTGTCGATGCGTGCCGGCACGAACAAAATGTCACAAGTGAAGTTATTTTGATTATCTCGAGACAAGGGGCGCCACTGTCGCCGCCGACTTAGGTAGATCGCAGGACGACGGCGCTGGCCGTAGGGTTATTATATAGCATTGGAAGACGATGCTAGCACTTTTATGTACTGCCGACAGATGGCGGAACGCAACCAACGCGAGAATGTGGCGCTGGCGCCGCGTTGCCTCGACCGACCATCTCCGTACAACGATGGGCCGTGACAACACGTACAAATGCCGCGTGCACAGTGCTCTGGGAGATGAACCTTGAATGCCGAAGCAAGCCAGTCAATACACTACAAAAATTGTGCATTCCATAAAGCCACGTCGCACTAAAGAAAACGTAATAAAAACTTTCGGAAGATTGTCTGCTAAAGCACACCCGGCCTGACGGCGAAGCTCAGCGCGCATCTTCGGCGCCTGGGGGGGGTAGGTTCCTATCGCCGATGCATTGCCGTTCACTAAGTAGTCGAACGTGTTAAGGAATTTGTAGGTTTTAAGTCGTTCTTGGGTATATGGACCAGGCTAGTTGAATCGATAGTACTGGAAATTCGCCCACCATACCTTCGGCAGATTTGTCATTTCCTTGAAGAATAAGTGATCGTACTTTTCCCTCAACGGATCAGAAAGGCCATGTCGATCTCGTATAAATAAATCTTGGGATTTACCGCAGTTAGTCCTCGGTCGTGAGATCATTTAAGTATGCGCTACGGTCCTAAAAATAAACAAGCAAAAACTATGCAGCAAACCGGAAGTAACATACTCTTCCCGGAACATCGGCCACTACTTGCTTGTGTTTACCTCCGCGCACCCTGTCTACACATAGAGCATACAAACCGTGAGAGAGGGTTCCGTTGTTTTTATAATTTTATTTCGTATATAAAATGAGTCACGTTTTGCTAATGTAAAGCATGAGCGATTCTGCGCTTCGCATTCAGCTTTATAAATTTACATTATGAGGAAGTATTTTAGGTTGTTTGGCAGTGCAAACACTTGTTCTGATTGCGAATTGAGATATCTTGATACCCCAGTTTCAAAAGTCTCACCAAAGATTAGCAGGGATGATATGAAAGCTAATTAAAAAAACTTACTCCCGAATTTTGAACCTCAAAAAAGAACACGCGTTGTTCGAAATGTTTAAGCTTTTTCTTGTTCAACTATAACGCTTTGATAGGTTATTTATGCGACTAAAACTCTCTTTTACTAACGGTATATACACAACTTGATCTCTTCATTTGAAGTTTAAATGGTTATATAAGTAATGAAGTTCGCATGCTAGGAGTCAACACTATAATTCACCAAACCGGCATTCAACAAATCTTTCGCCATCTACGGGTGCGTCATATTCCCATTGAAAAATGTAAAAAAAAATGAAAGCCTTTTACAATTGCTTATAACGCCGGTTTAGAGCTCAGCTCTTGAGGAAGAGGATGGAAGCATACTGAGGGATAGGTGACTCCTTGAGGTAACGTGAACTCAGGGGAGGGGGGTCGTGTGACGTCAGGGGGGTCAAGTGACCTCGGGGCGGAAGGGGGTTATGTGACCTCTGGGGGCGGGGGGGGGGGGGGGGGGGGTCACGTGACTTCAGGGGGGTCACGTGACCTGGGTTATGACATAACTGATGACGTCATCAGTGGCGATGACGATGACAATGACGACACTGATGACGTCACTGATGACGTCATCAGTGACGTCACGCGTCCCATAATGCACCGCGCAGTTACGCCGAGGGCGACGGCGACGCGGACGCCGCTCAAGCCGGAAACGGGCGCCTAAGAGCTGCGCTCTAAAAACAGCTGTGTCAGATCTATCCTGGGCTTCTGTGACTTCGTTTTAGAGCGCAGTTCTTAGGAGCCCGTTTTCGGCTTGAGCGACGTTACCGTCGCCGTTGCCGTCGGCGTAACCGCAGCGACGTTTCGGCATGGTGACGCTTCGGCACCGTGCCGAAACGTCCTCGTAACCCCCCTCAGGGGGTTACGTGACTCCCCTACGGGGGGTCCTGAGGGGGGTCACGTGGCCCCGTGAGGTTACGTGACCCCCGTGAGGTCATGAGGGTCACTCGACGTCACAAGGGTCACGTGACCTCAGGTTACACCGACGGCGACGGCGACGCCGACGCCGCTCGGAGGGAGGAGTAGCTGGCAGGATGAGGAGGTGAGGAGGAGGGAAGACGTGTATACCCTCCCCTCAGTACCCTTCCCTCCTTCTCCTCCTCAAGAGCTGTGCTCTAATTCGGCGTTACAGGGAGTTGCAAACGGCTTTCCTTTTTTGTATGTATAAACCTGTTGATAACGCACTTCAAACTCGCGCAGTGTATAAATATGCAATTATGATGACAATGAGAACTGAACACATGTCATGCTTTTCTATCGCAGTGCTTAACAAGTCTGTGGTATGTGAGCACAGAAATGCAAGTTTTCGTCATCACCCTTCCATTAACCATGCTGCTTTCAAGGTAAGTCAGCGTAACTAATTTTATGAATGCTAAAACCGATTATGACTTATTTTGTCTTATTTGATGCCCAGATTCCCCAGGACAGCCGCAACCATCTTAGTCCTAACGGCACTAGGGTTCAGCATATACACAACACTGCGCACTTACTTCTGGAATCTCTTTTTCTCGATGACAACCGGATCAAACAACGGAAAGTAAGCTACTTGTTCTACTCCAGACCTTTGTATTAAGTTCTACATTAACCCCCATGGCCCAAAATACAAAACATAAATGTGTCTAGAAAAAAAAATGCAAAATTTGAGACGCTCCGCAGTGTCGATGATAAAAAAAAAGAATAGACCAATGTAAAACTGGAAATGAATGTTTAATGACATAATATTGTGCTTGAGAGTAAGACGAAAATGGTGCCGCGCATCCCTTGTGGTAACAAGATGGTGACTGACTCAAAGCAACCCGTTACAGCTGCTTTTATACGCCCAATATATTTAGGAAAGCTTTAAACAAAGATGTGTACTTTAACAACCGAGAATTATCTATAAAGTTCCAGAAGTTGAACGAAAGGTGAAATAAAGAGTAGGCGGGCGCGGTTTAAGCCCGTACCTCAGCAACACGTCCTAAATAGAGAGGCTGTTGTGCTGAATTTGTGACGTCACCTAAAAGAGGCGAAAGCGGGGCTGAGATTGAACACAAGAGCTACTTCACCGTACACGAGTTTCAGCAGAACGCTGACGCAACACACGTGTTTTAATCTTTAACCCGCGTTAGCCTCTTTTAAGTGACCTCAAAAATTTATTCCCAAAGCCTTGCTATCTTGGTGTTGGCCTCAGCGTGGACGCCACGTGCTCTGGCAGCTCGCATCACACGAGCCGACATTATAAAGCTTTTCAAGGACAATGTGAGTCCCTTCTATTCATATTCGAGTGCTATATTATGAATTCTGCGACGAATAGAACTTCACACACTTAATGAGGTCCGAGAGTCGACTAGAGCAGGTTGAGCGGTAGTGGCGTTTTCATCCGCCACAGGAAAACGGCGCCTCCTTTACTTTTCAGCGTTCTCATCAAGCCACCGTGCGAACGGGCGATAATGCGCCCCGTGCGAGGTTGTGAAACCTTAACCCCCGGATGAGATCTCGCTTGCCCGTTATAGCTGTTTCTGCGAGTAAATATGACACGACTAACCGTCATTGCGTCACTTCAATAATGCAGTTTTCACTAAAATTCTTTCAATCCATTAACGTGTGATTTATTAGTATTACCATGAATGTGCTATTAAAGTTATTTCTTTTTAAAAATCAGATGCCGCAGGAAAAACTTTAAACAGCATTCAAATCGCCATGGCTCTATTGCTAAATTACCCAAGCATCAAGGAGAATGCTGGAATTGGTGTTCCCCGCACCGCACGTGCTGGCCTCAGCAGTAGTAACTTTTTAAAGCAAATGCCTAAAACAAATTGCATCTTGCACGTGCGTTCGTCAACGCTTTATTTTGGTTATTTACTTCGAATCTTCTATACGGGGAAGGCGTGCGCGTGTGGCGCGTGGAACACCAATCCCTGTATTCTCCCTGATGCTCGGGTAATTTAGCAATAGGTCCATTCCCCTTATGTAGGCATTTGTCTGTTTGTATCAACACTACCAATACTTCTCAGCACGTTGGCCTGTATTCAAACCTACAACGCCTTTGGTGGGATAACCCAATTTTCCAAAAAGCAACTATAAATCGAAATGCATCTGAAGGTTCACTTGTTGAATGATTAAGTTAGAGCAGAAGACTGAGGAATATAGTGCAATACAACTCAAATTTGTGCAGAACTATACTAATCTGCCCTTATCTTTAGCACTGCTTCTTACTGTCTGTTGTGTTAAACATCTTTCAGTGGAGGCCGCTATTTTAAAACAAGTATTCGTACTCAGTAGCGTACGTCACTGAAAAGTATACTCTCAGATGAGATTGGTATGTTCTTGTGAAAGACGATCCTTCATTGGCATTTTCTTTTGTTACAGACGACTTTTTCAGACTCTCGAGTTGATCTACTTCAGGCCATTCACACATGTGGCAACCTATGTGTGTGGGATCTTATCGGGCTACGCGGCAGTACACTACAAGAAGAGAAACATTCCTTACGTAAGCCTGATTTCTTCTTTCCTGACTTGGCTTTCCTTATGGCCACTGGAGGGCAAGAACTGATTGAAATAATACTTAAAAAACAAGCGAGGTGGTAATGATTCACGGGTCTCGGGTTTTATTACCATGAAGAACTGATTGTGCGAAATAAAATATCACTAAAAATGCATGACTAACAACATTTAGATCATATTGCAATATTTTGCGATGTTAGGAAAACTTTAATTTGACCCTCGTCCTGTTTTACTGCTTGAGATGCACAAATATGAGAATATCATATTTTTGTAATAATTTTTAGGCCTCCCATTGGCTGCAAGCACTGTTAACGCAAGAACGACAAACAGGCAGACAGATGGGGCATTGCTATAAACGTCTTGTATCGCTTAAGTGCTTATCACCTTTATTAAAATGATTAAGATAAGTACGGGGGTAATTATTCTGACCGTTCCGAACTAAAAAAAGAAAACAGAGACCGAGCTTATTTTGTGGGTACAAAGAAAACATAGCTCTCGGGACGCTCTGCTATGCGGAGCGCAAATTCCTCTGCTTTTTGATAAGGTATCACAATGATGTCAGAACGCCGAGCTCTTATTGGATGATTGGAAAAAATAGTAGGTGGACCTCAAGGCATCTAGCATCGAGGTCTATCCACTGTCCTTTCAATAGAGGCCAATCAGAGGTCGGCGTAGTTCGGACGTCTCAGCAACTCTTGCACAGGAATCAGACGACTTGTTCTCCGTACACACCCATGCTTGCTACTTTGACGTGGCTACGAAAGCGTTTGTCATAGCACAGCTAGAATCGCTATTAAAAAGCAAATATGGTACATCTTAGTCTCAATGTGTCTCATTAAATACATTCGACAGATGATCCAGTCAACGCTTTGGCTGCTGTCTGCGACTGCAGCTGGATTCGTAATGTTTGTAACCGTGCCATGGAATAGAGGGAACCTTCCGGACGACATCACCAACGCTCTCTACGGAGGCTTCCATCGACTGGTGTGGTCCCTGGCGCTCTGTTGGCCCATCTACGCATGTGCAACAGGTCACGGAGGTCCGTACTTGACAATATTGTGACATCCGTACTGAAGTGAAATGTATGTGCACTCATACGACACATATTCTATATGACTCCCCGAAATACCCATATAAACGGACAAGCGAAAATTCAGTTGCTTTGTTAACAGACCTCGCGATTTTAAAGTGGTTCATGAGCATATTTCTTTTCTTACACATGAACTATGCACATACAACACACAAAAAAAAAAGAATCGGTGTTGTGCGCCGCTTTTTATTAAAGCAAAGAATTGCGAATGGAATAAGTAATAAATACAGGCGGAGGGAAAGAAATATTATCTATGTGCCGTCCGACAGGGAAACTGCTAAACAACCATTCCGAGGTAGAACGCCTCAGTAATACCTAACTTGGCACAATCTTGGCAATTCTAGAATCGTAACTTGGGCCTAATACTTACAGGTTTGCTCCTAGACGTTATTAGTTCGTGCCAAAACTTTTTCAGGCCCGCCACATAATTCTTAGAGTACCACCCTTGTGTCAAAGATTTGACATCTCTGGCTCAAGTATCTATGTATGAACCGAAAAACCCAGCAACAAAAGCCTACGTCTGGCTTTTTTTTCTTTTTTTTGGCAATTTAGGCCTAAAATAGCTATATAAAAACCGAACAACCGTAAGTGAAGCATAACTCTGGCACTTGTTTGGCGACTTGGGCACACAGATGCCAAGTGACAGTTAAACTACAGAAAGTGAAGACTAACTTTGTCTCTTGTTTGGCAAATTAGGGTCGAGATTTCCAATGTCTGGCCAGAGAAGGTAAAGTTTCGCTTTAGTTTAGTTTTTCCGGGCTTTTTGAGGCCGTAAATTCCAATACAAAAAAAAAAATGAAAGCCGTTTGCAACTCCCTGTAACGCCGAATTAGAGCGCAGCTCCCGAGGAGGAGGAGGAAAGCGTACTGAGGGTCACGTGTTCTGGGGGGGGGGGGGGTCACGTGACCTAGGGGAGGGGTCACGTGACCCCCCAGAAAAATTTTTCTGCATGATTTAGCGGGGAAATTTTTCCGTTAGATTTAGCGGGGAAATTTTTCCGCTACATTTAGCGGGGAAATTTACCCATAATGCACCGCGTGTTAACACCGACGGCGACGCCGCTCAAGCCGTAAACGGGGCGCCTAAGGGTTGCGCTCTAAAACCAAATACAGGCTCAAAGGAACTGTGCTTCCTGGGTGGTCAAACATCAAATTATTCTTTGTGTACTCGACAATAATGCATTAATATGTCATATACTTATTTTATTAGTATGTTGATATATTGGCAGTATGGGTGCATATGTATTTTTTCAATATTAATAGCAAATATGTTGTGTCTTTATTTGCTTCCAAGTGTGAGGAAAAATAAGAGCCAGCTACAAAACAATGGGAGCCATTACTAAGTTACGTTAACTTGTTCAGACTTATGCGCTTTGATATCCTGCTTAATCTAATCTATCTATATTAATTACGCATTTACTAAAGAGGTAAATGAATCAGCTTTAAACACGACGCAAGGGATAATTACTGACACAAAAAGTGCGAACACACTCAATGAATATTTTGCAACTATTATCTTTATTATACAGCTCATTTCAAGCCCAAATCTAATCACTGCTGCACCATATATTTCGTTAAAAGATATTTCCTTTTTTGTTACCGGTCACCCAGCCAATGTTTTCAATATCATTACAACACGAAAAGTATTTCATTGTCGAAAAACGATGGGACACAACTGATAAGGCTGAAAATCGTCATTCTAATATTGTACTGCCTTTTAGTGAGGTTATCAACACAGTTTTACTGTTGGTAATCACTTTTATTCTTTGTTCATCTAAAGTCAATTCACCATTTTGAAAAAGGAAATGTTGAAACCACTCGATTACCAACCTCTCAAATTAATGAAAGTTAACTTAGACACGTATATAAATTTGATAATTTATCATGCATGGTATAATCAATCAGAACTATTACCATTAGCGGTCTCTCTTTTTTCGTTCAATAACAAACTGAAGACCTATCATTCAAAGCCTTGTGCCCTGTGTGCCAATAATACTGATGTATTCCCAGATAACAGAAGTGTAATATTTAACTGTGCGAAAAGCTATGAACACTTTACGAAAGCTTGAAGTTGGCTCATTGGCAAACTAATTAATGCCAAATGCAGCCAAAGCCAACTACAAAATGTTTATCTGAAAACACGCAACTTTTAAGCACTCCAGTTGGTTTGACAGTGTAAACTACACAGAGTTTTATAATACCAATTTTAAGGGTTTAACGTAGATAACAAACCAACATGGCATCAGTGCGTAAAAACAAACACTGATATTATGTATATGGACACATGTTTTTTTTTAAACCTATTCAAATTAATAATTATTATTTTATTAGTCATATTCATAATTATTTTAAGGCTTAACGTACTTAATATACCTAACATGAAAAACAGTGGCAAATTGCCAGAAAACTGTGTTACACGTGAAACGATCCGGTGTCGCTCCGGAACGTTAGTGAGCCCGACGCTACGCACACGGCGATCAACAGATAACTTAACACACGTGTCATATAAACTTGATAGCAGTTCCTGGAATAAACAAACTAACGCTAATAGATTTTGTGTTGTTGTTTTGGCTTTTTTTGTTTTCGTGTTTTGGTCGTTTGATGAGGGTAATCAGCCAATGAGCGTCGAGCATCTGGCTTCACCTTTAAACCGGCCTCACTTTTGGGCTTCATTGAAATCAGAACCCCCACCTAACCAGACAAACAGCGTATTACGTTAATAATTCAGAACACGGTCTCTCAAGCAGTGCTCTTTATTAGTAGCGACAAAGCACCACCATTTGCATACTTTTGAACATTTTAATAATTCACCAATACCTCAAATACCGAATAAAATTTTTAGGATATAATATGTCATCAAAGCAGGTAATGTGCTTATAAATTAAATTCTGCTCATAAAAACGTAGCTTATACTTTACGTTACTATTCTCAAGTGTTACTGACTGCAGTCTGCGATGCTCATCAAACTTTTCTGAAACACGCGAACAGTGTCTTATTACAACGAAGCTGTTTATCAACAAAGCCTCAGGCCCCAAATTTGATGCTAAGTCGCTTCATTCTATGAAAAAGCTTATACGTCTCATCACTTGGATATTCATTTTGAGTAGATGAGTTGTCAATAGGCACCATTTTCAAGATAAGTAGACTCTCAGGTAGATACTAAGGATTTCTTAAAGATTTGCCACTGTGCGACCCGCGTCGGCCATGTCTACGCTCGCACGCCGCCCTCACTTTGTCGTCGTTCCAAGCGCTTGCCTGCCTAGTTTCCTTTCCTTCCGCTCTCCCGCGGTGACTGTCCCCTCGCGCGTGTCTACTTTCCGCTGGGTGGCGGCCCCGTCGCGCGTGTCTAGTTTCCTCCGGCTTTTCGGGGAGGGTTTACAGAGCGGAATGGCTTATGATATTTCATGGGAGTGCTATCTTAGCGACAGCGGAAATAGTGCTTTATGGCGTAGTGCTCAATGGAGCAGTCCGAGCAGGGGGGCCGCTCGCTCTAGGTGAAAAATTGCGGCTGGGCCTTAGACACCGCAGCAATATTGCGGGCCGACGAATCTATACGTATTCAAGACTGTTTCACAAGAAAATGCATGGGAGTCTGTCGATACAGTCAGTGTTTGGATAATTCGATCAGTAATTTTTTTATGTTTCTACGCAATGAGCCACTTATAACTGGCAATTTCGGTAGTCGCTAATAGGCTGTAGGCGAGGGGTTGTGAGAAGCGTAGATCGCGTTGCAGGCAAAATGTTTGTGGTGTTCCTGGTCCAGCAGCGATTTCGGTCTTGAGCGTGTGGATATCCTGCTTTGACTGTTTCGTACAGCGCTACGTCATGAAGCAGTTCTTGGGCTGCCGTCAGGATAGCCCTTTCTTGAAAAAAGACGCCGTTCGCGTGTTCTGGACCAGTTTGGGGAAAACAGCAGATAAAAAACACACCGTGGTGCATTGACACTTTTTAACGTTCATATCAAACACAGAACTCCCTCCCACAAAAATTTGATTGTCGTGACATCTCTCCCTTTCTTTAAGCTATCGATACTTGTAAAGGCAATTCATTTAATTCCCGTTTTATTTTTAGATTGGTGAAAGAAGCTGATTGTATACACATTCAATCCGCTTCAATCAACATTTCTTCGTTTTTTCTTTTTTGTAAGTGATCGTTGTGTACAGTGTTGCGCATGTGCGGCTTGATTTTTGGCAGACAAAAGGTCCTTGATGTTGTGCGTATATTTTTTTTGGCTTTTTTAAGTGTGGTATTGAGTTTATTCCTACATTTCAGTGTCTATATTATTGTATGACTGTTTATTTATATACTTGTATTTGCATTAACAAGGATGCCATGGTATTCCTTTTTATAATTTTGTAATTTAGTTGCATATAAATTTTCTTTAAACCCTTGCTCTAACAAAAGGTAGCTTTAAGAGCTATTTTTCAAAACATTGCGCTTACCGTCTGAATAAATCAACTTATGCCCTAACAACTTCTAGGAGGATGAAACACGTTCCTTTACTTCTTGTGCCCAAGACTGAACATAAACTTCAGGAAAAGGGCGTTGAGGCCCAGCCTTAAACTTTCATTCAAAATATTCGAGCCAGTCACGCTTAGAGTTCCTTTTTCACACAATTTACATTCTGTGACACTGTTAGCGCGAACACAACATAGTCAATTTTTTTTTCAATTTTCATAAAAACGTTTTACCTCCCTAATTGTTTTGATGGCAGACCTTAGATTTTAGCATAAAAAAAAAAAAAAAACGGCTATCGCTTGTCTGTCCTAACAGCGCCGCGCAGTGTCATTTTACTTCTGACCTCCACCGACGAACAACTTGTGTTAAGGTAACAAAGAAACTTATATATTTCTTCATCACTAGGTATCATTGCCTGGATGTCATCTTGGAAAGGCTTCATACCCTTGGCCAGGCTTACATATGGAGTTTACCTTCTTCATGGACTGTTTCTCCTTCTTCGAATGGGATTGGTCAAGAGCCGTTTTAACTTGGACGAATTTTTCCAGGTATGTGAATATATTTGATTACCGAAATTGGTAACAAACTATAAGAAGTAGAAATTTCGATGTCACGCTGCTACTAAACTTTAACCTACTCTTTTTCTTTTTCAGCTGACGAATACGCTGGGAATAATCGCACTAAGCTATTACTTCGCCTATTTGCTGTACCTGGTGTGTGAAGCACCGATTGAAAACTTTTCAGCAGCTGTGTTTGATAGGTGCGGAAAGAAGGAGCTTTCGAATTCCTCGAAGCCAGTGAGCAATGGTCAGAACACGAAGGTTTGAGAAATAACCCACTGGCTTATGACAGTAAACAACATCCACTCGGGCACAATCCCAACATTCGCTAACCGATGTATTTCGCCTAATGCTCGTCAATGCAAAACGTTTAGTCTAAGTTTTTTTCACGAGTAAATGTTTACTTCTTTTTCTCTAGCTGTAATATTTGACGCAGCTCACACTCATACATACTGTACAGAGGAGTCGGATGTAACATTCCAACTAACAAGTCGTTCCCTGTGTTCTGAGATTCTCATTAGAAACCCGAGCACAGATTTTGTGTACGTGCCAAGAAGTGGAATAATGGTCGTTCATACGTAGAAGAACTGTTCATTACAGAATATATTGTACCTCTCAATACTTCTTGCAAATGTGTGCACCCTAAAAATCTAGTGCAACAACTTTCACTTGAAGAACTTGGGAGAGCCAGTAGGTGCAATGTATGGAGGGAGCTCGGCGAATGACAAAACTGAAACCAGGTTCATGCGTGGCAAAATTCAGTGGTAACACAGAATGTTAGTGTAGAGAGGCTGTGTACACATGTGGAGACTGGATATCGCGAAGCGGCCCTGTGTCGTGCAAGGTAAGCGCGTAAGCGCCCCGTGGTTGTCTTACTTGTGGGTGCCATCACCTGCCGTTGCAGCGTAAATGCGACTTTCTCGGAGCGTGTTGTATGTTGAGACGTTGTGGACAGAGCGTGCGAAAAAGAGGACAATTAGAACGCAGCCACGCCGAGCAAAGTCCTAAAACCAGCTCGAGGCAAAAGAGAACCCAACACTCGAAACTACTTCAACGTGTTGCTGCAATGGAGTCTGCTTTTCTTTTCTTTATTTTTAGAGCGCAGCTCTTATGCTTCCTTCACACTTGCGAACCGGCGGCCGGATCCGCGAGGATTCTGACGCCCGGTGACAAAAGCAGGCAGAATTTTCGGTGGAGAGCAAGATCGCTCTAAGACTACTTTTGAACGCCGGAAAAAAGTTTTCTCTCACCGCAAGCTAATCAGAACGCACAAGAGAAGTGGCGCTTGCTGACGTCAGGTCCCCGCTGACCAGCTGGTGACGAGACGCGCGCGGGCAGGTTGGGGAGCTCTCGTCAGCTCTCGTCTGTTCGGGACGCGCTGCGCCGCTCGCGCCGCGCAAGCCGCAGGCGGCAACAAATGTGAACGGCCCGATTTTTTTCAGCGAGCGAATCCAGTCAGCGGCGAGTGCGTATTTCGCAAGTGTGAAGGAGCCATTAGGCGCCCGTTCCCGGCTTGACCGGCCTCGGCGGGACCGTGAGGTCACGTGACCCCCGTGAGGTCACGCGACCCCGGTTACGTCACGTGACCCACGTGAGGCCACGCGACCCCGGTGACATCACGTGACCCGGGTGAGGTCACGTGACACAAGGGGTCACGTGACCTCACAGGAATCACGTGACGTTACCGGGGTCGCATGGCCTCACGGGGGTCACGTGACGTCACGGGGTTAACATGACCTCAGGGTTGCGCCGACACCACTCGAGGAAGGAGTAACAGGCAGGATGAGGAGGTGAGGCGGAGGGAGGAGGGGTATACCCTCCCCTCAGTACCCTTCCCTCCTTCTCCTTAAGAGCTGCGCTCTAATTCTGTGTTACAGGGAGTTGTAAACGGCTTTCATTTCTTTTAAAGCGCAGCTCTTAGGCGCCCGTTTCCGGCTTGAGCGGCGTCGGCGTCGGCGTCGGCGTAACCGCGAGACACCCCCCCCCCCCCCCCCCCCCGAGTACGTCGGGTTCCTTCGGGAGGACCTTGGGAGGACCTCGGGTACCTTCGGTGACCTCGGGAGGGGGGAAGGTGTTCATGTGACCCCCCAGGTCTCGTGACCCCTTCCCCCGAGATCACGTGAACCCCCTCCCCGAGGTCAAGTGACCCCCCCCCCCCCCTCAGTACCCTTCCCTCCTCCTCCTCAAGAGCTGCGCTCTCTTCGGCGTTACAGGGAGTTGTAAACGGCTTCACTTTTTCTCTTCTTTTCTGTCGCTCTTTTTTTAGCTCTTTCTATGGTCTTTCTCTCTGCTCTTTCACGGAGCAGAGAGTGCCTGTCTATCTGAACACGTGATGTTTTACCTCCACTGCGAGTAGAACAGAGCCATTCGAGGAAGGGGTTCGGCTAACACTAGTGTTCAATCAGTGAGGAGGCGAGCGCAGCGTCAGCGTTCAGCTCGCAGTCGGTCTGTTGACATCCGTTGCGTTGTTGTTGTTGTATCAAATTCTGTGACACCCGCCACGGCGTAAGCATGGAAAACGTCGTGCTTTGTATTTTGTATTTTGTATTACTTTTTGTCTTATCGCCGAGCTACATCCGTATATACCAGCGATTGTCTCTCTTATGTGCTTTGAAAGAGACGAGGCGCTCTAAAATTTTAGGGGTGTATGTTAAGCAACTTAAATCCTTGTTTAGGAGCATTCAACTTGAGTACGGTTACTCACAGCCTAGGAAACGCGAGCGTACCTTATTATCTCCACAAATTATGTTCCGCGATTCGTTTTTTCACGATGTTTTTCACAAATGCTGAGATGTCACTGGTTCCGGAGCCAAATTAAGAAACTCGCAACTCGCCACACCCCTCGTTTCCTCAGCTGTCACTGACTATGTGGAGAACAAGTCGTCTGCTTCTTGCGCAGGTGATGCGGTGACGTCAGAAGGACGCCAAGTTCTGATTGGCTTTGGTTGAAAAGATAGTAGGTAGACCTCAGTGCTATATGTCTACAAGCCATTTCTCTTTTTCAATCAGCCAATCAGAGCTCGGCTTTCCGGCATCATCGCAACACCTGTGCAAGAAGCAGACGAACTTGCGCTCCGCATAATTATACTGAATGTCAGCTTAAGAAACGTAGAGTGGGACCTATTCAAATCACTGCTCTTATTCATGATTCTTCACTTCTTTGTTTTTGTGGGCTGATGCCGCAATATGATTGGCTGCGAAGCAATATCAAGATGCCCGTTACTTGCAACATCTTGTGCTTCTTAGGCTCACGGTGACTGTGCCTTACATGTCCTCACTTCCATGCTTAGTTCGACCATTTGCCGGAATCTTGTCCACATTTCGTCATCACGCTTCTCTACCCTGTGGTCGCCATACGAAGCTTTGTCATTTTGAGCTGCGTTCGCTGCTGGTGTCCGCTTTGTAGCTGGTCACGTCTTTTTTTAACACCTTGTGCGATACCAAAATATTTGGGAACGTGTAGAGATTGAATAAAGTGTAATAAGATTCCTGTTCGTTCGGTAACGAAGCAATAAATACATTTGATTCGTAGATTCATAAGTTCCTGTTCACTACGCGAACCTCATTAAAGTTGTACAGCTGTGAGTGCATTCCACTTTTCTTGTTTTTCATTGTACAGCACAAAATAAAATGTCATTTTCCTATAACGCACGTGTCTGTTTTTTAGGAACCAATGGTAACAATTTAGGACAAGCATGGTGGATCCCCGGCGCTCTGTTGTGAAGCCCTCAATATATGTGAACCTCAACCTCATTGTGAAGTGCAATTCTAATTGAATTAGCAAAAAAATGAATTCCGCAAACAAATATGTAGCAGCAGTTGCTTCCTCTACAGTACTGTCGTTGAACACTCACGGCACGGAGCTTCAAATTGAGTTCTCCGGTGCCCTAGACTCGTCAAACACAAAGCTGAGACCGAGGTTTACGAAGGGCGCCGACAAACGCGCGCCGCGCTTTTGTGACCAAAGTTTAGCAGGCGTGCTCTGAAAACTTTTGGCTCAAAGAACTTTTTTTTTTACTTTAAAACCTTTGGCGTGAGCACTAAAACAGTGTAAAAGGTGTGGACATTTAATTACCTATTTTCCTTTAGGAGTCGAGATTCATTTATTCATACCTTATCCATCCGCAGCTAGCGACTGCATTATTTCTTTAGAGGAACACCACTAGGTTAATTAAATACTGACAACACCTGCCAGAAGAGCAGGACAAACAACAAGGAAGAAGACCTTATGCAACGTATGCTTCTTCATTTCCTCGACCTGGCAGAGATCATATTGCTCCAGACTTCGCGTTGCCCTTTGTCAGGACAGATAGCCTCTCCAAGAGTATTTGACTATTCTCACAATGCGCACTCAAATGTTCTGTATAATTGTTCTGATGGTCACATTATGTCCGCACGGAGCAGTCTTCCATGAGGTGACCACGAAAAGTCTCGAGAAAGTCGTCGATGGCGCGCTGGAAACGTTCGTGCACAAATTATTGCCTCTAGCCACCGAACTGGCTTCCGAAGTTGACCTCAGTCCTGCATGTTCATCAAGTCTGCTGCAACTGATGCTGGGACTTCGTCGAAAAGAACCCTGGGCTCTCAGATGTTAGTCACGGTTTGTAGACATTCAATATTTGTTAGCGTGTCGTGTTTGCTTTTGTTGCATCTAGAGTTTAGTCCCACTCAATGCTGCATTTAAGAAACGTTGCAAAAGACGTTATTTTAATTTCGTATTTAAATACCTTATAATGTTTTATTATTTAGAGTTTGGGTTGTTATGCGTTGAAGCGAAATAATGTTGACCACAGGGATGCAAGAAGACTGGGATAGGTACTAAATTCGTACATCTGCGAGAATTATGCTGCGGCTATTAGTTTGCCAAATGCAAAGCAGCGTTTACCATACTCCAGCTTAAAGCCAATCTGCAAGTATGATTTATGATTACGTTTTTATTACTGACTAGCTCCATCATAATCACCTCATGTATAATCGGGGTTTGTGCATATTCCACTATCGTCACTGGTTCGTTTCTCACTGGCATTGACACGGTGAGTAGCAGACAGTGTGCATTGCTAGTTATCAGCTACATTGTCCCTTCGCAATTGCTCCCGATTTTTATCATCGGAGGGCGCTAGGTTTGTGCGATCTGCTCAAGAAAAGTTAGATTATCAGGTTGGAGATACGTTCTATATTTCTTGTTTCAAAGGTACAGGGTACAGCATAATGAGCTCACCAGCGGCGTTCAGTTCGGGCGGCACCAAAGTCATGCGCAGAGTCCAGGC